TGACCGTTATGAAAAACCAGTATGATAAAAGGCACAAAACCTGCAGAAAGTATCAGATTGGTAATTTAGTTCTATGGAAAGGGGGTTTAGCACGAGATAATACTGCCGGTGTGACCAAAAAATTAGGAAGTGTATTTACAGGCCCTTACAAAGTAACCAAAGCTGACCATACAATAGACCGTTATACAATTAGTAGTATACAAGGAATGAAGGGTTACAGAAAATTCAATGCAGTAGTTCCAGGTGATTCACTTCGACCCTATAAGGCGTCAGTATCAGATAGTTCCACAGATTCTGACCGCGAGGTTGATAGGGATGACTTGATTGATTTGTTGGAAAGCTAAATTGATATTGATTTGTTTGCAGTTTCCTAAAACACCCACTTAATTAATTAGCAATATTTTTAGCTATTAAAACTAGCCTAGTGGGCAAATATATTTTATCTAAGACTGAAAGTGTGATTAGTTTTTAAGAAAAGTTGAAGTTTGAAAGTTGAGTAAACTTATCTTATTGTATGGTAAATTGAAATAATGTATTTCTTACTGAGTAAACTACCCAATTACAAAAGTCAATAAACAAAAGCGAATATTGTCATACTATCCAAATTTTTTTATAATAGGTACTTACTTATGTTATGATAATGATAATAATAATTAATAAACATGTATTTGTATGCACTGCTTCATCTTTCCCGAAAATGCACAAATAGTACAATTAACCCCAGCTTCTTATACTTATTGCATGTATGTCATGTGTTGCATGACAATTTAAGTAAATTTAATTTAATTGATATAGTGTTTTCAACTCAACGCATGCTGTGATGTCCTTCAAATGTGCATTAGTAGTAAGATTTTGTTAAATTCCTAATTTTAAGTTAATGTTAAATATGTAGCAACAACTGGAGCAAGCTGCACATGAAAACTAGACATGTAGCATTTATGTCTGGTTGGTTACGCTGATGGCTGGAAAACAAATCTGTGTGATTGGCAACAGTAATATCTCTATATTGAACTTTCTGGCCCAACATAAGTTCTGTGTGATGATTACAATAACATCCCCATGCTGAACTTTACAATCCAGTAGTAAATCTGTGTAATTAATTACTATAATATCTTCATGCTGAGCTGTGTGATCCAGCATAAGATCTGTGTGTTTGACTACAATAATGTCTTCATGCTGAGCTGTGTGATCCAGCATAAGATCTGTGTGTTTGACTACAATAATGTCTTCATGCTGAGCTGTGTGATCCAGCATAAGATCTGTGTGATTGACTACAATAATGTCTTCATGCTGAGCTGTGTGATCCAGCATAAGATCTGTGTGATTGACTACACAATAATATCTTCATGCTGTGCTGTGTGATCCAGCATAAGATCTATGTGATGATTAAAATAATATCCTCACGCTGAGCCTTAGGATCCAGTATTAAATCTGAATAAATTATTACCATAATATCTTCATGTTGAGCTGTGTCATCCAGCATAAGATCTGTGTGAGGTCTGTCCATATCCAATAAGAATGAACAAGTGTAACTATGTGAAATACTATTTATATTATTTCTACTCCAAAATTACGAATAATCTGAACTTAATTACTGTAGTCCTACTACACTATATGGCAGATAAATCTGTGTGATAATTATATATTGAACTCACTGCGCTGCTGATAAACAACATGAATCAAAATTATTTACCTACCTATTACCATACTTTCATCATGATAAAATTACTAGAGCAATGTACTGTGCTCTTGTTGTTTTCAGATACAACCCAAAAAGGATGCTGGAGAAGAACGCCGAGGAGGACCACGGCAGATGCAGGATGGCCGAGTGTAACACTTCCTACCAGTTCCTGCTCCAATATCAAGTGCCACAACCAACGCCATCTTGTGTAAACATTCTTAGTTCCAATATTGAATAATGTTCTACAACTAACGCCATCTTGTGAAAACATTATAAACTGCTTAGTTCCGATATCGACTAATGTTCTACAACTAACGTTATCTTGCGTGGATATTATAAACCTTACTTAGTTCCGGTGTAGTTCCTATATAATTATTTAATTATTAATGAGTTATTGTTAATTACAAATTCACTATAAATTATTAATTTGCATTGACTATATTATTATAATATGATTGTAATTTAAATGTTTATTATCTAAATAACTAATTACTTTATGGATGTTAAATTGACTAATTGATTGCTTCCGGTTGTTGTTCGTTGTGCGCTGTGATTTTTGGAGGGACATTATTAAAAACCTGCTTCGAGTTCGAGGTGTGCATCTTTTATTTGGCTATTTGCTGCACCTATATAATATAATTTTCAACACCTTATCATACAACGTTCAAAAAACTGATAATTCCGTAATTTCATAATAATATACATAGATGAATCATCAAGCTTCCTATTCCCTAAAAGAGTAGACAGAGGTGCACTTTTAACCTAACATTAATATGCGATATTAATAAAATAAAATAAGGAAGCTACTTAACCTAATCTATAATTCTGATCTAACAAAGGAACAATCTGTTAAAATTACGCTTAAATGGTGCCCAAAATGGTATCACGTTACAATAGAGATAATCTTCCCTCTTGACAGCTTTAGTTATCCATTAATTTGAATGCGTCATAAAGACGATATCGCAGATTAGCATAGAACACATTATCCACTATCAACATATATAAGTACACAATAATAGACCGTAATTTCAGTAACATAGTGTCAACTAAAATAAGCAAAGTTTAATAGCACTCTTATAAAATTCAACAGGTTAGAAGTATTTAAAAACTATGCATCTAAAATGAGAAAGAATTTTATTTAAATAGTTTTATAAATCGCCTACAGGTTCCTGATACAAATTGCAAACATTTGCTCAGTGGTTGGTAAAAAACAATGAAGAGCCTATGAAATATGCCGTTAAAATTGTTCATTTCATTTAATGTTTCAATTAAGTGCTTTTAATCGATCGTGTAATTATGTTGGCAACTAGTGGTCGTTTCTATCCCTATTCATAAAGGCGTTACTAATAAATTTATAAATCCATAATAAAGTTGTACTACAAATAAATATAAATGGGATACTCACATGCAGACATTTTTGAGCTTCTCATTTTCACTCCAAAATTTTGGCAACGTCTTTTCACCAAGTACCTTGATCTATGATTTGAACGATCGGTAGTATTGTCACGAGATCATCTATCAATGTTATCGAAGGATTTAACTCGACACTATCTGAAAGATAACTGTTCCTTCCTTTTCTGTTTCGATACGTATTAGGGCTTGAGGTATGGTTCCAGTGTGTACTAATGTTATACTCAATTAGGTTCAAAATCCTATGGAAAAATATTGATGACAATAATTGTATCTAGCATCTCCATGCTAGCATGCATGCATGAAAATTTACCCCTTACTTCAACTTATATTAATTCAGAGTGGTCGGTTCTTGGTGAAGTCGGTAGTAAACGTTTACACAGTACTTACTTTATCTAACGATTGAATACTTAATTCAATACTTTTAACTTTCATTATTCATATTTGACTGCGCGCCCTGTATGGTTGGCGCAGTACACAGTGATTAGATAACCGGCGGCTGTTTAACGTGTTCTAGGGTTAATTAATATTTTAATATTATTCTCCACACACACAGTCACATACATTCTGACAAACTTCGTCACTATATTTTTAGTAGCATGGTAATTTTAGATTTTTGTTTTAAGGATATTTTTTTTTATTTGATGGGCCGGCGTTTTACCCCTCGCATGGACGTAGGTGATGATGTGGTTTACGATGGATTACGTCGTCCCATAATCAACCTCTGAGAACCGAACGGGTAACCGGGGCTCCGGCTCGACGTGCAGGAGCAGGAACGGGGTGGTTTTTAGTCAGTAAAAGTCTGACACTCCCTCCGGTCTCACCCAGGCGGGAGCAGTCATTCGATGATTTTCCCCACTTAAAAAAAATCACTAATCACTAATAACCTATATTATAATGATACTGCACTGGAGCCACACCTGACATTGTCTTCAAGTACACGATGTCCATCACCTGTACTCCACGCTGCAATTCTCATTAAACTTTCATACGATCGATACTGACCGTCCACATTCTGATTGATTCTGTCCATGTAGGACTTAGAAGAATTTTAAAAACTAGCTTTTAAGGTTAAAATAATGGCATTTTAAATTTAATTTACTATTTTCTGTGACTAAAGTAAATATAATTTTATTATATTAAGGTAAATTACTTTAATTATTCTACAATTTAGTTTACGAATAATTTAGATGTCGGTTTCAAATATCCATAGAAGCAAAGTTAAATAAAATGGAGCTGTAATAAATATATCACGAATTTCTAACTTTCGAGCACATTCACTAAGAAGCATTAAAAATAAATAAAATACAATTGACAACTGATTTTCACTTTTATTTTACAAGCTCATAATATTACACGAAAAAACCACAAAGATAAACAAAAATATTAGAACATGCCAATACATCAAATAAAGTATCACTTTATCCAATTTCATTGAACGAAACAAATTTTATTAAGTAAAATAAGTAGAATCTTATTAAGGAAATCTGACTTAAATATTTACATATTTCATTATAACATAAAAAATAACAAAGAAACGAAAAAAATGTGTATGCAATTCTAGCTCAAAAATTACGAACAAATTTTTGTTTTGTACAATCATTTCGTAAAGAAACGTACCTACTGAAAGAAATAAGACATCCATAAACATCATAGATTAAGGTATCTTTTCTTACGTGAGAGAGCCATGCTTAGTTTGGTCAGCTGGACTACTAACTTCATGGTGTTGCAGAAGTTCGAAGGCAGCACCAATACGAACGGGTCAGCTCTGCGCAGCAGGATTCCATGCTGATTGCTTTCAGGCGAGCCGTCTTCTTGTTCGCCTTAACATACTACTCATTCTGTACATAATTCATATTCTTTTCCTGAGAAAGCAATATCCGAAATCTTCCAAAAACTTCTCCCTCACTCATTTAAAAAGATATACTTTTCTGTCATTCAGCGGTTGAACTGTACGGAAGGACATTTGTTGTGGTGACGACTGAGTTTTGAGGAGTATCTCTTCCACCGCTTCCTGGAATAAACGTATTAATATTATCTTAATGGAGATCTATATAATAATCCTATAGTACCTAAATAATATCATTGTTATTTGCTGTAAAAACTTTCTAATTTCGTCAAGTTTCAAAACTTTCTATGATTACGCACTGTGTCCAGTCCAATTGATATTTGGGATGAATTTCTTTTTCAATGTTTCATACTAATCTGATTTTTAGACTGATTGATTCACCTAACCATTTCATTTAAATATGACTGGGTTTCCCAAATCCTTTATCTGAACTATGGTCATACTATTACAATAACATCTTCGCCAAATACGTCATTGAATCTTATCAGAATCTTATGTTATCAATATTTAAAAGACAAAAGATGTTATTCTGTAAATACTAAAGGTTATTTTCGTTTTGTATTTTACGTAGTATAATGGAATGATATATGAAGGGTGTTCTAAAATGGTTACAAATGGAAAACGCATGGTAGTTGATATTCGTGGTATATGTCATCGAAAGAGAAAGTTTTTTGATTACAGTTTCGTACTGGAATTCAAAAGGCAGGTAAACGGGGAATAAAATGGTTGTCAATGTTGTGTTATAAGTATAAAATATTTAAGTAACGCGTGTGTCGTGGTGGCCCAGTGGTTTAAGACACTCACTTTTAATGCATGAGGGTGCGGGTGAAACCTACTAACGGCAAGTACCAATGTGACTTTTTCCAAGTTATATATGTACTTTTTAAAATTATTCAGACACCACTGACAAACGGTGAAGGAAAACATCGTAAGGAAACTTAGGCTTATAATTTATAATTACAAGTTTGAAATCACCAATCCGCATTGAGCAAGCGTGGTGATTAATGCTCAAACCTTCTCCGTGTGTGAAGAGGCTTTGCTCAGCAGTGGGCATTTATAGGCTGTTGATGATGATGATGAATTAAGTAACATGTAAATGCATGGAGCAATTTCTACTAGATAATCTGTCGAGATAAAGCCGAGGACCATACACCAAATACCAACTAACAAATGTCCCACGACATGTATCGGTGACAAGTCGACCGAAGTCGGCCGAAGTCACCTGAGTAATACGTTGACAAAGCGCAACTTATGTCCATAGTGACGTTGATGTTGTCAGACATGTCGAGACCAAAGTTCAGCAACGTCGCGCTGCTTCACCCGACGTCACTGGCGCCATGTCACATAATCATAGATCATCTTATAGCCAAAGTATTAATCGATCTGGTCCAGAAACTTTAGACCGAGATAGATTTTTGACATAAGTGAAGCCTAGATCAACACAGATTTTGCGTTGAGCCCATTTATATTTTAATTGGTAGTCGTGAGCCTGTCGCGGAGAACCTAACGGGTTACCGAGGCTCCGGCTCGACGTGCAGGAGAAGGAACGGGGTTGTTTTTAGTCAGTAAGAATCTGACACTCCCTCCCGCCTCACCCAGGTGGGAGCAGTTTCGATGATTTTCCCCTCTTAAAAAAAGTCGTGATTATATTCCAGTACAATTGTTTTTTATTATTGCATAGGTCGATAGGATCGAAACTACTGCTATTTTGAATTTCAAAAACAATGATAGGTATAATTAACCATCAGTTGTACTCGACTGGGAATCAAGAGACCACAAGACTAATAAAACAGTCATTTAAACAGATTACATTTTTATTTCAAACGATTTTCGAACTTAAAACATTGGAAATACATTCGGACAATAGTTCAGACGCTAGTACAGTCAGTAAATCTTTTTTTTATTGTCACTAGGGTGTAATTTGCATGGCACTGGCTGCTGTGGAACATAAATTCAGTCAGAACAGTCCGAGCTAGGAGACAAACATCGACCATTGGTTAAAAGTCACGACCATTATTGGTTAAAAATGAAGTATATCTGCTTTGTTATCAAGTAATTTTGATTCTGTAAGACTATTTATTTTAGTTGACTCTTGAAAGTAGGTAATAGTTTATAGTTAGGACTTGGTAGAATTGAATCCCATGAATATTAAAAATAATTTAACCTCTGGCAACTTGCACTCAATTTTAGTTCCAATGTGTACAAAGTAATTGAGAGACCAGGTTATGTCGGCTCTGGATGTGAAAGTTTTAAATTCTATTTGACCAAATATGTAATAATTAAAATGAAACTGGTATCAAATACGAATCACAGCAAACTGACAATAATGAGTATCCACATGAACACGCAACGGCTGCTAATGTTGGATCATGAATCACTGTCAAATACCAACGACCCGCGAACATTAATAAATCTATATAATATCCTTTGCACCTATTAATTTCAAATGTAAAATGTTGTATATATTGTTCATTTCGTACAATTTGTTTTAACCTTATTTTAAATGTTGCGTAGAGACTTTACGTACTTATGTGAAAAAAGTAGGGTCTGAATAAGAACTTTTATAAATACAGAAAAATTAAAAATTGTGCATGTGTTTGTCATAAACAACATAACATACATACACTTTGCATTTCAAAATTCCACTGGTCACACATAACACATGTCTATAGAGATAATACAATAACAATTATTCTATCGATTTTCCCAAAATAAACCACAGCTGGCGATCACTCATAACTAAGTTTTAATTTAGTCTAAAAGCATAAAAGCATAGTCAAAAACCTTACCCAAACATTTTCAACTATTAATAGATCTTAAAAACTTTTATTTTAGACTCACGAGTGCACGTCATATTAAACAGACATAAGTTAAAAAATATTGGCCAAAAATAGGTTTTCAATATTTATTTTAATATATAGTTTTTTGTGTACAAAATTCTGACAGTTTTCATTTAACGTTAGAGGCAGATGGTGCATGTTCGACCTTCATAATTTATGATTCTGTCTAGATCGTTAGACGGAGATTTTGATATAGAATCTAATGTTCAAACGAGACGACATATTTACGAGGACCCCTAGCATTACAGCTTGTCTTGGTAACATAATCGTAATTGGATAAAGGGAATGTAAAGTGTAGATTAAGATGTCTCAAGGTTGGGAGTCTATGCCTAATACTTATAAATCAAAAATAATATTCGAAGTCTTTAAAATTAACTTGTCATTACAGTTGGTACATGATTTTACAAGGTATTTGAATAACAAAGACTTAACCAAGCTAAGATTTGATTTCCCAATGTTCATAAAATCTAGAATAAGTTAAACCTATCATGAAAATAAACCTACCAGTGGATATCACACTTGGTACATCAGCGACAAAATCAGTGACAGCAAAACGATCGATGCAAATTATTAGTAACTAGCTTTTACTCGTGGCTTCGCTTGCGTCACAAAAGGATGAAAAATAGCCTATGTGACATATACCGATATACGCAGCGCCATCTATACCAATACTTTTGTTTTCCCTCAGGAATATCAATTTTTTCCGGGATAAAAGTACCCTATTATTTAATCAGGACTTCTAACTTTACGTCTGAAAAAACTTAAAGCAATCGGTTTAGTAGTTACGGCGTGAAAGCGGAACAAGCAAACAAACAAACAAACTCACTTTCCGATTTATGATATTAGTAAGGATAACTTCAATACTTTATACTTACTCTCATGACAGACAATGTCCTTCCTCTAACGAGCCAGAGGACAGACTCAGTGCATGGTGGAGTGGACAGGGACCCTTGATAGCAAGCATACTCTTTGAACGGAGGGTTGAAGTAACTGAGAGATTTCGTTTTAATAGAAACATTGCGGTAACGCACTGACTTCGATAATTTTAGAAGTTCTTCTAAGCCCTTGTGTGAGTGGTTTGAATACTGGAAAAAGAAAATTATATCAGTATTATTATAAAGATACTGAAAAAAATTGGATTATGACGTCACATTTGGTTGGTTGCATGATATTTGCTGCGTCATGTGTCACGTTATGTTACTTATAAACATTAGCCCCTACATTATATTAAAATTAGTAGAATTACCAGATACGTGAGTAAAAATCCCTTAAACATTTTTTTTATGGCATAAGCCGGTAAACGAGCAGACGGATCACCTGATGGTAAGCAATCGGCGTCGCCCATGGACACCCGGAACACCAGAGGCGTTACAAGTGCGTTACCGGCCTTTTAGGGATATAAATATGCGTCTGCTAGTTTACCGGCTTATGCCATAAAAAAATTCTAGCATAGTAGCACTATGCTACAAGGCATAACTGATAAAAAGTGAATATCATATTGCACTAGTTAAGGGAATAAAAAGTGCAAAGTTATTTCTGCCATATTAACTAAAAATGTTTGGTTTCTGAACTCTGAAACCTTGAACCTAGCATATCTTGTGACGCAAACGAGATTAAACGATATATTTTATGACCTAGTGTTTAGGATTAAAAAACAAAGGCCTATACCAATTTACGACTTATTGGTTTCCATCGTCGGATCCTTATTTTACTGGGCTATTATGCAGAAACTATAGAACGCCTTATATTGACCCCAGTATATTTATACTAAAACAGAATATTTGTATGTTAACATTGATTGTTGCTTCTGAACTGAACCAAAATTTTTTCTTTTTACAACATATTTTTGTAAACAACTTTTGAGAATGATGGACTGCCTCGTTGGCCGAGTGGTCGCAAGTGCGACTGCCGGGCAAGAGCTCTCGGTTTTTAAAAAAAAATCTCAGTAGTAGCGCGAAGTCTGGAATTGTGCCCGCTATATGGCAATAGGCTCACCCCTTATTGTAATAATAGAATAGATAGAAGAACATAAATAATGAAAAGTGGGTGTTACATTGTACAGTGGCATAATGTGCACCTTTGCCTACCCCTTAGAGGATAAATGATAATGACTTATGACAATTCAACTTAGTCTATTAGGTACCAAAAATGAGTATCGTCCCGATTGCTATTTTTTTAAAAAAAACGTCTCCCCACGCTAGGGTTTTCTCCGGTGTCGTGGGTGCGTTTCAAAAATACAACTTCACACACACATGACAACTAGACCCGTTTAGATTTGTGGATCACACAAAGAGTTGCTCCGTGCGGGAATCGAACCCGCGACACGTTGCGTGGCAGCCGGTTGCCCAGCCACCGCACTAACCTTGTTGTCATAATTATATTCCACGAATGACATTATGGTCTTCTCATGTAATCCAATAAAAGGAGTATCTATTACCCTACATTTATCATTAAGGTATTTGATCCAACTGAAGTATTTGCATACCTTATGAAAATTGTTAGCATAAAGCGCAATTCTTAAGTTAGAGCCTTCAGACTTGTGTGACCAGAATTATCCATTCCAATTTGCTTTGTTCATTACTAAGAAACCAAAGGCTGCACTAAGACAGCTCAATGCGGTTTACTTCGAAATGATTTCTATTGCGAAGAAAATTGAAACCAATCTAAGAAAGCTGTAGTATTTACTTTACTTGATAATCTTCGAAGACTGTTGACATAATTTAAGATTCAATACTAAGTGGACTAAGTTAGTTCAATAATAAAAAGGTTAAAAATGACGATGTCCTAAAAATGTGTTTGATTAATATTATAGCGATTATCAAATACGACAGATTCTATTGTTGGAAAGTCAATATTGTTATATTCATGATAAATTATTCTACTATAAACTACATTTAAAAACCCTTTTTTTTAAGGTGGGTAATTACATTCCATCACGCTTTTTATCCCCAAAGGGGTAGTCAGAGGTGCACATTATACTACTGTACAATGTAACACCTACTTTTCACTATTTATGTTATGAGTACCATGTAATAGAGCGTGAGCCCATTACCAGGCACAATTCCAGACTCCGTGCTACTACTGAGAATATTTATAAAAACCCAGTAATATTTTGCCCGACCCGGGATTCGAACCCGAGACCCCTTGCCCGGCAGTCGCACTTACGACCACTCGGCCAACGAGGCAGTCATAGTTGGGTAATTAATATACTAAAAACTTTAAATTCCTAAGTGTAACAAACACTTTTCTGAAAACCGCATCAAAATCGGTTCAGCCATTTGCGAGATAATCGCGCACATACAAACATACACATATCAAATTGAGAACTTCGTTTTTTGAAGTCGGCTAAAATAACATTAATTTATTAAAAAATATAACAAATCATAATCAGCCACAGATCGATTGAAAAACACTTACGCATCCCCTTCCTCATTTTCCCAACTGCCTCTAGACAATCGGCTACTTAAAAGCAATTTGTATTCAGAATATTCCAGCAACTTTATCAAAGTGTGAAATGTGATACTACAAAATAATCTCTTAGAAAACGTCACACAACACAATAAAACGTCCTAATCCACACAAGAATGAACAAACGTGTCTATATCCATATTGAGCACGTTACTATTAAACCATTCAAATAAATAAAGTACGTGATTTCACGTTGGGTATATTTAAATTAATCAATCATTCAAATGAAATTGCTTTGAATAATACACTCTGAATGCCTGAATAAGATTTTGCGATGCATCTTAATGGCAAGTGCAATGACCCTTTACAATAGACAGAGTCGAAGATTCTGCATTATGTTAATTCAAAAGCATTCTGACAATATTTCATTCAGCTCAGCTCTTATTTATACACAGTAAGCCACAACAATTGTTAGGTACTGAATCGGTGCTTGGCAAAAAGGAGATACAATTTTAAGCTAAATTTAACGTGAAAATGAGAAAATTGTTGCAATGCTCCCGAGAAAATCTATTGAGCAAGAGGAAAAGCGTTCGATTGTGGATCCAAGAGGGATTATTGTATTTCTAAATTCCCCTGTGTTTTAAAAATACAACTTTATGACTTTATTTCCGTTTTCAGTACTATTGAAGAAAATTATGCGTCTGGCTCTGGGATTGAAGAAATATTATTAGATACTTCAATAATATAAACTATTTGTAGTCGTATATTTTCGTACATATCGCGTCTCATTTCCTATCCCATTTTGACAGAATATAAAGCAATGCCTACTACAGAGAAAAATATTGTTCAACCAGTATATTTTCGCGTGAGACGCGGCTACGGAACAAAAGGGTCGGATCGACTGGCATCATAGCTCAATGAAAATGATAGCCACAGCTTCATAAAAAGCCGGCGTACAACGACGTTGCTTATGTTTAGCCGTGGAACTGATGTTACCGAAGGTCAAATCCTCCGATCCGATTTCTTACCACCAAGTGATTCGTCTACTCGTTTGCCGGCTTATCTCATAGATTAAAAGAAAAATATACAATCAATTGGGTGCAATGCCCTAACACTACACACTATTGGTGTAACAATGAAGGATTTATTTTTCCACTTCATTAAATCCTGGCAACGTTAAAAAACTATTATACTCTGATAAATTGCGGAATTTTGTTTAAACCTTAGTATTTATTTTGGTAAGTGGTGTTAATGTCCTATGAAAAGGTATAGTTCATTTAAGTTAGGTATACGTAATTAATACTAGGATTACTTTGTCTTGAATTAAGTGAATAAAAACCTCTATTGGCTGTTGCTGATGACTTTTGAGACCAAAATACTTTATTCTATCTTGTTTTATTCCATTTTTGTCTGTTTTTGATTACTGTTCCACACCTTAACTATGACGTAATGGGTGCCAATTTTAAACTACGAAATAACTGTCCACGTGGCTTTAAATATCAACAGAGATTATCCAAAAAGACACAAACTTTGAAACATCTAAAGGTCACTAAGTAAATTATGGCGTAATCCCACCAAAGCTTTTTCAATCCAATTTTAATTGTAAGAGTATTCCACCTTTGTTGGACAGGTTTCAAGATAAAAAAAGCCATTAAAAATGATAGATTGATCTGATCCAAATAAGATAAGGGAGAAAACGAAGATTTTATTAAGTAAGTTAATTATTTAAAAAAAAGATTTCGTGTTTTGCGTCAAACTAATTCTAAGCCTGTTCCTTTCCAATTTGCTAATGCCTTGTCTGCTAAATCTTAGCTAGTTGACAGCTGTTTTGAGATAACAACAATTGTATTATAAAAATAAATTATATTTAGGTTCAAATTAATTTAGCAACATGCCTGGGTTATCAAAATTAGCAATGAACTTCTGAACGCTGCTTCTAATTTGCAAACATTAGCTTGTTAAACTACTTATTTTTCCTTAAGTTTTCAACAACAATTTACCTAGAAGCAATTCACAAAAGTTCTATTGTAACATGCTTCATTTTAGATTTAGTATTTAATAATTTAAACAGCAAAAGCATGGATTATTTTAAATCCCAATAATTGGACGACAACTGACTAAAAGGTGAACTTTAACTTACCTTATACAAATTAGCAACTGCAAGAAAGGCTTGTGGATCGCTAGGAGATGCATCCAGGGCATGTTCTAGATTCCTGTACTCAGCAGATACATAGAATGCTTGAGTTTCTGCAGGGTACTGAAGGCCGCCTACTGTATGTTCTGCTGGCAGGTGAAGCGTGAGGGAGTGGAACAGATACCGTCGACTATGTGCAGCTCCGCCGTAGATTAGGGGACGCTGTGCGCTTTTCCATTCACCGAAGAGCATTACTGGAAGAGAAGATAAATGAGTTTCATAAAAGGAAAGATAAATAAAAGTTTTAGTTCTTAAAGGTTAGCTATGCTAATGGTCGAGCATAATGTACACCTCTGTTATGATGAAAAATCGGCCCTGATTCTGTGTATTAGATTAGCCTAGTAGAGACAAATGGCAAGTAAAAATATCTACTCGACGTAATCTACAATTTACCTATTCAAACATAAACAAATCTATAACCGAACTCAAAGCTGAAGAAACTCATTGAGATTCATGAATCTGTTTTAATTTATTGCGCAAATTCTGAATGTTTAGCACCTCAAAACGTCCCTTGTAAAACATTCTATCTACTGTCTTATTTTTCATGTTTTTCAACCAGAACACGAAAGCATTAGAGCTGAAAAATCCTGATTTATATATTTCAATTTTCATCCATTTCTTGTTCCGCGTCCCTTTGTCCGTTGACCTTCGGTTTAATTGCGTGGAATTTATGTGAAAAATAAGCGAAACTTTTATAGCTTTTTTAAGATATTTATTGGAGGAAAATGTTGCCACTCAATGAATTTTGTGCGAATTTTATATTAAACTAAGGCGCCATACGTTATAAAAAGTTGTTGAAAGTCCGTTTCCACACTGAGAAGTAAATATTGTTTGGATATCACTACATAGTAGGGTATTTTTTTTAAGGAGGGAAAATCATTGAATGACTCCTCCCGCCTGGGTGAGGCGGAAGGGAGTGTCAGACTCTTACTGACTAAAAACCACCCCGTTCCTTCTCCTGCACTTCGAGACGGCGCCCCGGTAACCCGTTAGGTTCTACGCGGCTCCAAATCGGCATCAGCCTTATTGGGCCCCATCCGTGATGGTCTGATGGCTCTATGAGGCGCACGCGGAACGCCACGCGCACATAGTAGGGTATAAGACACATTGTAGGTACCGAATGTTATCGTCGGCTAACATTTTGATAAAATAAACACTGCAATGATAGATAATTAATCCTCGAAACTCCAAAACATCGACCGCAAACTAATTAACAACATCAAACTATTATGAAATGGAAATCCGCATTTCCACGAAACGAAAAATTCATAGACAGATAGATAAATTGTTATTTTAACAAATCCGGTTTGAAATTAATCCGTGATAGTAGAATTCTCTGGTTATTTATTTGAATAAATAGAGAAATCCCCGAACCTAACCTAACCTAACCTTACTGTTCATGAGTATCATTCGAGTTCGGAAATAATGAATGATTCATTCAATTCATTACTATGGAACCATCATGCTGAAAGATTTTTACTCCGAATTAATTAATAATCAACAAAAAAACATCATCAAAACAAAGCCGCTATCCGCCGTCTGTCTGTCCCTATGTATGCTTAGATCTTTAAAACTCCGCACACACACACTACAACGGATTTTGATGCGGTTTTTTAAATAGATGGAGTGATTCTATGTATAATACACGATGAAAAAAAGCTGTGAACGTTGTGTATAAATAAGGACATTCTGTAGTAGGTATATTTATATAAGCATTGCACTCGTATGAAGCCGGGGCGGGTCGCTAGTTGATTATAAGATTAGAAAAGATTTTAATACAATATTATTTTATTTACTGCCTCGTTGGACGAGTGGTCGCAATTGCGACTGCCGGCCAAAGGTTAGATTCCCGGGTCGCATAAAGCCAGCACAAACCCAGGTCACTTACCATTTTTTTTTAAATCTTAGTTGTAGCACGGAATCTGGAGTTGTGCCCGGTATATGGTAATACGCTCACCCCCTATTACATGGGGCTCATAATATAAATAATGAAAAATGGTTGTTACATTGTACACTGGCATTAAATACCGTGTGCACCTCTGTCTACCCCTTCGGAGTTGAAAAGGCGTGATGTTATGTTATGTTAATTATGTTATTTAGTAAAAAATATATAATTTAGAGAAAACTAAAATCTATTTTACACCTACCTCGTTTACCATCATTCATCAAAGTCAATTCCTGTGCCTGTACGTCGTAGTTCTGAAAAAGTAATGATCTTGCACCTCTTGCCTTTATGAGACCAGCTATTGGTAAGTCTACAGGCGACTGGGATTTCCCACCGCACTCTGGAAATGATTTATCCCATCTTCCTTGACCTAGAAAATAATTGAAAAGTATGAAGTATTATAACCTAAGACTTTTTTTTTAAGTAGGGAAAATCATCGAATGACTGCTCCCGCCTGGGTGAGGCGGAAGGGAGTGTCAGACTCTTACTGACTAAAAACCACCCCGTTCCTTCTCCTGCACGTCGAGCCGGAGCCCCGGTTACTCGTTAGGTTCTCCGCGACTCATAACCTAAGACTTGTCTATCCTCTAAGTGTGGGAGAGCCATGCTTCGGCACGAATGAGCCGGCTCGAACGGAGTGATACAACCGCTTTACAAAAAACTGACGTGAACCAACAATTGCGTTGTATTTCATCGTAGGAGTGAGGTTACCGGAGACCCAATCAACCCCCGCCCCGCTCCATTTCCCAATCCCTGAACCCCAACAATCCTCAAATTCCTAATCCCAAAAGGCCGGTAACGCGCTTACAACGCCTCTGGTGTTCCAGATGACCATGGGTGACGCCGATTGCTTACCATCAGGTGATCCGTCTGCTCGTTTACCGGCTTATACCATAAAAAATTTGATATCTATACAAATCGAGATGTATAAAATTTCTTTGTAGGAAAACGTGATGAATATACTTTTTTGATCACATAACGGAATTCCAGCATCCTTCTAAATACAGGAGAAATATAAACGTTACATATTTATTTACCTTATGACTTTAAGTAGTTATTTGGAATTCGTTAAACATACAGCGTGGGTAAACATAAGCCAACATAAGCCTTCCTACTCAATCAGAAAGCAAAAGACAAGAGTCCTTAGAACAATTTTGTTTCTTATTTACAAAAGCAAACTGGCCATCTCAAGAGCGTCTGTCTTCAAGTATTCATTAGATCAAGTTTAAAGAAAAAAACAACCTAAGTAGAGGTAATTGGGTTTGTTTTCCAGCTTTTGCGCAGGTATTTTAAGAAAATCTGAGATAAACTTAGGAAATCAACCAAAGGAAAAGCTTGAGGAATGTGAAAGAATATTCTAGAAAATACTAGAACAAAGAACGTTATTTATACGTTAGTTCTTTAAATTGTGTGTTTATTTCTATGCATTGTTTACTTTTTTTCTTTCCAATTATTTTTAAAGGTCAAGAGGAAAACAAGTTTAATAAGCTTAATGAGTGAAATTGTCATTTGATGACAGCGTGACATCACGCCTACGTCACGACAAAGGGTCGGGCAGTGACGTAAAATCAACACCCACAAGTTTTACTTTTTATGAAACTTCATATTTAAGCCAGAGTTATGACAAAGGTCTTTGGTTGTCAAAATAATAAACGTAAAGGATCCTTACTAATATTATAAATCGGAAAGTGAGTTTGTTTGTTTGTTTGTTCCACTTTCACGCCGTAACTACTAAACCCATTGGTTTGAATTTTTGCAGATGTGAAGTTAGAAGTCTGGATTAAATAATAGGGTACTTTTATACCGGAAAAATTCATATTCTCGAGGGAAAACGAAATTATTGGTATAGATGGCGCTATATGTATTGGTATATGTCATATAGGCTACTTTTTATCCTTTTGTGACGCGAGCGAAGCTGCTGGTAAAAGCTAGTAACAAAATAATAATAAGGTTTCGACATCGACTCCAATTAAATAATGTCAACTCAGAAATTACAAAGCATATTAACCAATTTTCACATTCTAAAAGTGACCGTTACAAATCCCAACAATTGTAGTTTTCAGTGGTCCCTGTTCATATTTGAAATTAACATTTAAGACTGAAAGCGTTTATCTTTGTTTTTTTTTAAACTTTGCCCCACACTAAGATTTCGTTCTGTGTCGTGGGTGCGTTTACAAACTTACAAGTTCGTATACACATGACACCCAGACCCAAAACAACAATTTGTGAATCACACAAATAATTCACTCTCATTTTTCCAGCTGTTAGTGGAAACTTTACCAAAGCTACATGAAAACTTCACGAACGAATGAGGCCCAAACTAACCTATTTGTACAAATACTACGTGGCTTGCACGTCTACTATTACGTACTTATTATGTAAACAGCTTAATGAAATCTACGGCGCAAAATGGTACAAGAAATTTAAAATGGCCTAATAAAGATATTTTTACAATCTAAGTTTTACTACCGACGTACTAAATACTAATTGTTTTGTAGAAAATACAAATTGTTGACGCTTAAGAACTGTTAAAAAAATGGCGGCAACAAAAATTTTTTTTGGATTTTGAACTTTTAATTGCGAGAGTTCGATTTAAAAAATAGGAAATCTATGAAGGCAGTTCAATAGGAGATAACTGGAACTGAAAAGTATTATTTACTATAACTATAACTATATTACTTTTATTTATATTTATTTTATAATCAGTTATTGTATACTACCAAAAGAAGCGGATGCAAATTAATATTAGAAAAAAAAAAATCTATGATCTTATAAAATAAACTTACTACTGTATTCCCAATCTAGACATGGTGCTGTAATAAAAAAACATAATTTAGTAGTTAGGTAGTTTGAATACAATGCAAGAACTAAAATTTGAATTAAATCGTTTTAATCTTAAAACATCATACACTCAACTCTATTAAAGGTACCTGTGTACGGTGGCCGGCAAGTGAACCTAACCTTTTCTGTCTCTCTCTATTACGTTTTAAACTTCATGGTATTGAAATGAAGTCGAAAATCCAATGACTAGATTTGACAAATGGGAGTAGGATGATATGCTGGCTACTGTACATAAAAATCCATAGTCAATCTACTTTCTTAAGGTTCTTTGATAATGATAATTATTATTTATGATGATTTTCGATTATGATATTTTGCGAATATAATATTCATAATTTAATAGAAACAAAATAAATCATTACGCAACGGTGGTGTCATCAAATCAATGGCAGTTTCTTCATCATTTGTCTCCTCCTTTCGAGGCTTTTTTCTTAGAATCTGTCGAAAAACGCAAAAAAATACATCAAGATACATCCACGGCTCATTTTTTAAATTTACTTTAAACATCACGCCTTGTTTTTTATACCACGACTGTGGCAAAAAAAACAAACGTCTGACTCTCTCTTCCACCTCACCTGGGCGGGAAGAAGTTATTCGATGATTTTACCCCTTAAAAAAAAGTATAGTTCTATCACTTTTAGTAAATTTTTAGTAAAATGACAGAGATGGCACGATATTTAAGTACAACTTATATTTGAGTAGCCTGTCAGTATAACAATTATCGTATAACATAATATATGAATTGAAAATAATGACTTTTTTATTATTATTTATTTATTTTTAAATCACACAGGTAAATATGTTATAAATCTAAGTCCCACAAAACCATTGCAATGTTTTGACTGTGGGGTCGAGGTACTAGGCATTACAATTAAATGTATTTATTATACAAGAAACTTATACAGAATTCAAGACATTTCTAGGTAACATGACTTTAATTTACGTTTAAACCTATTTATCTACATGAAAAGTTTTTAAATAAACTCTCAAATTGGTTAAGAAATGTTAAATATTATACTCTGCATAATTATGAGCTGAGAACAAGGTTCATTTACCAAAATAGCTATCAAGCTAGTCAAGTATGCAGCACTTCACTATGATACTCTGAAAACAGGAAGTGCAATCTCTCCCTTATTAAAACCGACCGCAACTATAAAGTTTTGTTCGTAATATCCTGAAATTCTTTGCTGAAATTGCAGGAGCCCTTAATGAAAACGAAAGCGCAAATTTTAAAGCTCCAATTAATGTAAAGTGACCTTTCTTTTGTGAAATTTTGAAAACGTAAACACCTAATGGGGCTCTTGAGAGCTGTATAGAAAAATTTTGGAATGTTTCGTGATTTATTTATGTCATTACGTAAAGAGTTGAATAATATGATGTCGACTTCAGTAAAACGTTGAATAAAATGACAATTATAGAATACTTTACAGGATTTGAATAAGTAATTTGTTAAGTTAACTAAAAATCGCAGGTTACTCACGTAAATGTACTGAGAAAAGCTTTACTAGTTTCGAACCACAGAAGAAGATAGTGGGCCAGTTGAAACAAAATCCAAACGAAGTGCTTTGACTTATACTGGGTTAGTTACAGCTACATATTTCACACTTTAATGCCTTTAACTCGACTAGCCATGAGTGGCTAGTCGAGTTAACCCATTTGGGACCAAATGCAAACTACACATAATTTAATAAAAAAAACTTTATTAACTCAATGATATGACGCCCACAAACTAATATCAGCAAAAAAAATTCAAAAAATATTTTTAGAAGTATTAAAAAAAAAGCCGTCCTTGATTGGGGACAACGGTCTCATGTGTAGTACTTTTCGAAGTAGTAACTGTTTTCGACACATAAGGTTCTAACGCATTATTTGCATTGATATCACAGTTTTTTTATGACTAACTGCGTATCGTAACAGATATTAACTAAATCTCTGCGGAAAATGTCTAAATCAATTTGATGTGACGCGCCTATATTTTTTTTGAGGGTATAAATCATGCATTGCGTTTTCCGCCTGGGGGACTCTTACTGGCTAAAAACCAACACGTTCCTAATTCTGCTTCAAGCCGAAGCCCCGGTGACCCACTAGGTTATTCATAGTAGTTGGGCATCTGTCTCACTGAGCCATCTCGATCTAAGGCGGTCTGATCTGCACTTTGAAGCACGCGCGTAACGCCACGCACCTTACAGGTACAGGTCTGGTTCTGGGCGGCGATCTGTTCTTGCTACTATGACTGCTTCGCAGAAAGAGATGTTTTCCAGTTCCCCTCGCTCCGCACCACAGCCAGAACCTAAGCTGGACGTGGAAGATTATCGTCGTCGATCACTTCCCTGAAGACACAGCGGTGGTCAACGTATACAGGGCATAATGCTACTCTATCCTCTGGGTGGACTTCGCTGTGACGACACCAGAATATAGCTTGAGGAAATGCCCCTTACTGCTGAATTCTGGTATCGGATGCGACGTCTGGTACTGTAGGTGGACTTTTGCATCTTCGGTCTTGATGCCCATCAGATTTTAGAATATGAACGCGTAAAGATATGTGGGAATTGGTGATGCTCTTCGTAAATTAACGTCTGTTGTCACCAAGTATTAGCTATAACTAAGTTTAGCCTATAGGTGACCTTTATAAATTGGAAAACAAAATACAAATCAGGTATAAATGTTTTAAAAATATACTACAGATGTGCCCATTGTCCCCATACGGGGACACCATCATTTTTTCTAACTTTCCCCTAAGTGGAATTGAAAGTATAAGGATATTCTTCAATATTGTTTTAATTGACACTATATGCAAGCAATAATCACAAAAAAGTTTTATAAATCTACATAATAACGTACTATAAAACGCCTCTGCTTTCAATAATAATTCCCATTTCACTTCCTCTTGATAAAATTGACAATATGACCCCTTTTTTGTAGCAATTTGTCAAAAGTTCTAATAATTTTAGGAAAGTACACTACTCCTCATTATAAATACCCATGAAATGTGAAGATAGCTAAAATAATTAATAACCAGCGGGTAAAAGAAAACCTGTCCCCATATGGGGACGGCGGGCTCAAATGGGTTAAAGGCATAGACTGAGGTCTAGTAAATCCAATGCTTCGTATTCAGAACCATTATAAAGTTTACATAAACTAATAATACAACTGTCTTTGTGTCCTCAACATATTTACAATTTAAAAAATGTTTTCAGTCATAAATTTTGGACGAGACATTTTAAAATTGCTGACAATGCAAAAAAAGCATTGGCAGAAACTGTAGAAGTACTTTAACTTATAACTAGCTTATGCATACAAATTTTTAGTTGCAGACAAATGGTTTTTGTGTGGCGGGTGCACAAAAGCATAATATTTTTGCACTATTTAAATTCTAGTCTAAATGCGCTAAGACAACCTCCTTCCATTAGATTAAGGGTGATGGTCTGAAAGGGATTGTATGTGCCAATCTTGTATTTAATTTCCTTATGCCGGAATACTGAAACGTTACTCAATTTTAAGTCGTGCTCAAATAACGTGTCATCTCTGTCATTTTACAAAGAATTTGTAGAGATAGAACTATACTTAAGCACGACTTAAAATTGAGTAGCGTTTCAGTATTCCGACACTAAACAGGTTAAATGATTAGCGAACCTTCGTTTTATAACATATTTTTTCGAGAATTGTGACCATAATATAATTTTAAATGCGGGAGAGTCATGCTTCAGTACAAATGGGCCGGCTGAACCGGAGTGATACCACGGCTTTACAAAAAAAATCGACGTGAAACAACGTTGTGTTTCGTCGTGAGAGTGAGGTTACCGGAGGCCCAATTACGCCCTCCCCTTCTCCAATCTCCCCAATTCCTAAATACCAAATACCAATCATCAAATTTCTAATCCCCAAAAGGCCGGTAACGCACTTGTAACGCCTCTGGTGTTCCAGGTGTTCATGGGCGACGCCGATTGCTTACAATCAGGTGATCCGTCTGCTCGTTTACTCAGCTTATGCCATAAAAAAAACAACTTACCAAATCTCGTGGGTATCTTATTTGGTCTTCGGGAGCATCTTCATCTATAGAGTTTCGGTCTGGAAAATGCGTTGGAAAATGGAAGACCCAAATAGTTTTTGGCTGAAAACAAGACGAAATGTGTACATATTTTTTATCTATTTTATCATCATCATTTTTGGCCGGAGTGATACCATGGTCTCACAGAAAACCGACGTGAAATAATGCCTGTGTTGTGTTTCTTCGTGTTAGTGCGGTTACCAGAGGTCTTCCAAATCTCCGAATTGCCCACAATCCTCAAATTTCCAATTCCCAATAGGCCGCTAACGCACTTGTATCGCCTCTGATGCTTCAGGTGTCCATGGGCGGTGTCGATTTCTTACCATCAGGTGATACATGGATCACCATGTGCTCGTTTGCCGGCTTATATCATTAAAAAATACATTATTTCTGAACAATAAGCCGTCTTCAATAGCTTTTAGATTGACCTGAAGGCAAGCTGCATCCAACATCTTCCTGCAACCTTATATGAGGTCTGTCCCGTTGTTGTAAGACTACTAAAGAAGCATTGAAATGTTCTGCTGTATTTTGTGATATACAATTACAACTACTAACATATTAATTGCCATGAACTACATTAGTAAAAGTTACATAGCTTACGTTTTGATGTATACAAAATTGATAACTCAGTTTATTAAATTAAATAAATGAAGTAAATTAAGTAATTTTGGATTTTTATGCCGTTGTGACTGTTAAAAATAAATAAAATAAATAAATTAAACCAAATCAACATTTTCAAGCCGAATTTCTATTAAGTTATTTTATAAACTTACTCTTCCAAACTTGAGGCGATCCCTAGCTTCGTTATCGAGTTGCCTCTGAATATCATCTGCATCGTCAAACAGTGTGTTTGTTCTAGAACTCGTTTGATCTTGTAATTGTCCTGTTAACAAAGAGAATAAAATAAAATTTAATGACCTGAATAAAAATTGTAATAGAACTTAGCTTTATAAAACACAATTTAGTTTGTAGAATCTTCAATGTCTGCAATTACAATCAACATCAGTAATAGGTATATATTTAACTAAATGTGAAAACTATAATTTTACATAACATAACATCTCGCCTTGTATCCACGAAGGGGTAAGCAGATTACGGCACCTCATGCCACTGTACAATGTAACATTCACTTTGCACTACCTATCTACCTCGTTTACTGAGTGGTCGCAAGTGCGACTGCTGACCACGGGGTTTCGGGTTCGATTCCCGGGTCGGTAAATTATTAAAAAAGTATCGTTTCTGAAATTGAGCTTGCTATGTGGCAATAGGCTCACCCCTTATTACACGGGACTTCAATAGTGAAACGTGAGTTTTACATTTGTATAGTGGCATTATGTGAAGCAAAGGCGTGATGTTATGATGATTTTATAATAGAATCAATGTTAACTATCATCTTAATCATCATCATTATGCCGTTATCGCCAACCGCTCCTAAACACCTTTTAAATAAGAATTACTTAGCATGGGGGAGCACTTAAACGAATCCCTTACCTGTATGATTGGTCAAAACCAAGATGTCTTCAAGTGTCACCTTTCTTAGCCTAGGGGTTCCTAAAAATTTAAAAGAGGTTTGTGAAAATAGGTTTTACACGAATGGGTTTCAAAATACTCCTGGGTATTTTTAAAAATATCTTAGTAGTAGCACGGAGTCTGGAATTGTGCCCGGTATATGGCAATAGGCTCACCCCCTATTACATGGCACTCATAATATACCTCTAAATAGTGAAAAGTAGGTGTTACATTGTACAGTGGCATTAAGTGCCGCACGTAAGTAATATGCACCTCTGCCTACTCTTTTGGGGATGAAAGGCGTGATGTTATGTATGTTCACAATATAACTAAATTAACAAACTAAGATGAATAAATAGTCTTGGTACTTTCAAGTTGACCTTACTTTAATTATTTATATTTTAGACTGCACGGTTGGTGCGGTGGCTGGGCAACTGGCTGCAGCGCTACGTGTAGCGGTTTCGATTCTCTCACGGAGCAACTCTTTGTGTGATCCACAAATTGTTGTTCCGGGTCTGGGTGTCATGTGTATGTGAATTTTTAAAGCAAAAATAAATTATGACGTCTATCTAGACTGATAACTGTTGTAGATGGTGAAGAGGTATGTAAGAATCGTAGCAATTGGCGTTCTATAGTCTCTACCTACCCCCATGCGAGGCAGGTGTGAGGTTGTGTATGTGTATATTGTGATAATAATAAAATCATAGAAAAGTCAAAACTGTACATTGAATATTTTTTGAAAACACTTCTCTGCATCACCCTATGGTTGGCTGGTAGAGAATGCCATTTGGCATTTCGGCATACTGTTGTACATAAAATGTTAAATAAATAAATAAATAAAAAAGAGTATTTGTAGCGTGATCTATAATTGATACTGAAATTGAAATATGGTTTTTAGATTTTTTTTCTATTTGTCTGTATGCGTGTCCGGGATGATCTCAAAACGTACTTGCATGGATTGACTTCAAATTTTGCATGAATGTTACTGAAAAGTCGGATGAACATATAGGCTACATATTATCATGCTATCATCTACAGGGGAGGAGCCCTATACTAGGTACTGAATCAATTCTGACGACATTCGTTACCGTAGAATATCCTTGATAAAGATTAATTCAAAAGCCTAAATTCTGTCAGAAGTCATTATTCTACGCGGACAAAGTTGCAGGCAACAGTTAGCGTAAGATAAATAATTAAGATCAAATTAAGGAACTAAGGATAGAAATTGTTATAATTAGAGTCTTAAAAAAACTACAAAATAACAGTCGATACGGTACTTTAAATGTTATCCATTTCTCAGTATATTTCAATTTATTTTATACCCTGTAATGAATAATTTGATTTATGATAATCAGAAACAGACGGGCCTATTTTATATTCTTCCAAACTTTGATAATAACTGAATTTTTATTACGTAAAAATTCGTAGTCCGTAGGACTTCGGAAAATTCCCAAAGGAATTATTTATTGAGTAATAGAGAAGCGATTATTAAGCAAAGCGTCGGTTTTGATCGTAAAATAAAACCTAAAATTATTTCTACCGCTGCGAGTAAATTGACGATAAAAAGGGGGGTAAACTTCAATAAACCGTTATATTTTATTACACAACCAGTGTAATATTACACAATGTTTACACAAGAGATTTATATTTATTAGTATTATTACGTTATCGGAAATAATGATCGGGGTAATGGATTAAGGTCAACAAGATTTAGCTATTTTGGTCGATGCAAATGTTATTGTTTGAAGAAACAATGTTTGACTGAAATAAAGGTTTAAATGTGACGATTTTTTTTCATACTTGATAGCCTCTTATCTGTTGGAACATCGGCTCCCGGTATAAAACACATTATCGCCGCAACTTTCAACAGAGGATAGGTTGACGTTTGAACACAATTTCGCCAGTAGTTACTAGAAAAATAATTAATTACTAGAAATTTACTAGAAACCCAGTAGATATATTTATCATTTCTATAAAGACTCATGTGGAAGGGGTCCTTATGTTTATTTTAGGATGAAATAGACTAGGTATACTTAGTTTTACTGCCTCGTCCGGCAATGTAAAGGGGGTTTTAAAAAAAATCTTAGTAGTAGCACGAAGTCTGGAATTGTGCCCGGTATATGGCAATAAACTCACCCCCTATTACATGGGACTCATAACATAAAAGTGAAAAGTGGGTATTACATTGTTAGTATCTACAGTGGCACTAAGCGAGTCGCGGAGAACCTAACGGGTTACCGGGCCTCCGGTTCGAAGTGCAGGAGTAGGAACGTGTTGTAATCCATCAAAATAATTAATACATAATATGCCGCTGCCTTCTATTGATAAGATATGTAAGCGGGTTAAAAATGTCATAAACAATAATCCTTGTCTATGTTTGTCTATGTTGTTTTTTTTATAATTTAAAATAAAAGTCAGTCGTTACTTGTCACTTTCAAGCGTCGTTTCATTTTAGGTTATGGGCCCAGTAGTCCCAAAGCATTATTAGTTTTAAAAAGTCTCCACGGTTCCAAGTGTAAATTGACGGAATTAGGTATTGAGTTCGAGACGTGTCGTATTGGATTCGTGCATCGTGTACCATGACATCGAACTACCTGGTCAATGTGCCCAAGTTGAAGGGGCGAGAAAATTACTGTGAATGGACATTTGCCGCTGAAAATTTCCTTGTGCTTGAAGGAATGGTTCACTGTATCAAGCCAGTTACGGGAAAAGAAGTTCAGGCTGAGGATGACTTGAAAACGAAAGCGAAACTCGTCATGACAATCGACTCGAAGCTGTATGTTCACATCAGAGATGTATCGACATCCCGAGAACTGTGGGATAAACTAAGAAGTTTATTTGATGATTCGGGTTTTACGAGAAAAATAAGTTTACTGCGTACTTTAACCTCGATTCGTCTAGAAAACAGTAACTCAATGGCGTCGTATGTTACTCAGTTGATAGAAACTGGACAGAAATTAAGTAGTACGGGTTTCAATATTAGTGACGAGTGGATTGGGTGCCTTCTTTTAGCCGGATTGCCTGAAAAATATATGCCTATGATCATGGCGATCGAGCATTCAGGAATAGGTGTCACAACGGACGCCATTAAAACAAAATTATTAGACATGGCGGAAACGGATGTCAACGTGTGTCGTGAAACAAGTGCATTCGCAAGTTCACGGAAGTGGCAACCTAAGACCAAAAATAAGTCTATGGGCAGTGCTGACGGCCACTCATCTGTCAAATGTTACAAGTGTCAACAAACCGGTCATTACCGGAATCAGTGTCCGAACAATATAGTTAATCAGTTTCATGAGAAGAAAAGTGTTAGAAAACAAACCAACGCATTTAGTGCAGTGTTTCTAAATGGAAATTTTAGTAAGGAGGATTGGTATATTGACTCGGGCGCAAGTACACACTTAACAGCTAACGAAAGTTGGGTCATTAATACCAGATATGGACAGAAAGAGGAAATAATTGTTGCAAACAGCAACAAGTTACAAGTTTTATGTACCGGCGATGTAAATATTATCACGAAAACAGATGAATTTGAGTATGAGGTGCCAATAAAGGGAGTACTCTGTGTTCCGGAATTGACTACAAATTTATTGTCTATAAGCCAACTGTTGAAAAATGGTAATAAGGTCAGTTTTTCAAAGAATGGTTGCAGTGTTTACAATTCAAGTAATGAATTAGTTGCTGAGGCTAATGTTGTCAATGGAGTTTATAAGTTAAGAGTCCCTGAAAAAGTAGTGGTAGCTTCAGCTGTTTCTGGAAATACTTGGCATCGCAGATTGGGACACGTAAATAGTAATTATTTGAGCAAAATGGTCACTGCAGTTGAAGGCTTAAATTTAGAAGAAAAAGTTGATATATCTAAGGCGACATGCGCGGTCTGTTGCGAAGGTAAGCAATGCAGATCACCTTTTAATAGTTTTGGCAATAGAAGAAGTGACAAACTTGAATTAATACATACAGATATATGTGGACCCATGGAAGTTACATCCATTGGTGGTTCTAGGTATTTTCTATTGTTCATAGATGACCACTCACGCATGACTTTTGTATATTTCCTAAGAAACAAAAGTGAAGCCCTGGATAAGTTTAAGGAATTCAAAGCTTTAGCAGAGAAACAATTAAACAAAAGGATCAAGTGCCTGCGAAGTGATAATGGCCTTGAGTTTTGTAATAGAGACTTTTGTTTATATTTGCAGAGAGAAGGGATCATTCATCAGAAAAGTAATCCCTATACCCCAGAGCAAAATGGCTTCTGTGAACGTCGAAATCGCTCAATAGTTGAAAAGGCAAGATGCTTGTTATTCGATGCCCAACTGGGTAAGGAGTTTTGGGCCGAGGCAACCAACACAGCTGTATATCTTCAAAATCGTATTGTAGCGTCAGGTTTAGAAGGAAAAACACCTTATGAAATATGGACAGGAAGCAAACCAAATTTAAGTCATCTTAGAGTGTTTGGTAGCAAGGTCATGGTCCATATTGCAAAAGAGAAGAGGCAAAAATGGGATAAGAAATCAGAACAACATATATTAGTGGGATATCCTGATGGAGTAAAAGGTTATAGAGTTTATAACCCTAGAACTAAAAAGATAACAACCAGCAGAGACGTTATAATCATAGAACCAACGGACCACAGTGAAGTTATGTTGCCATTAGAAAGATCTGGACAAAATACTCAAATTATAGAAGAAGATACTATTATAGAAGATAAAGAAGATACTGATGAAAGTGACACTACATTTTTTTCTGATGAAACTTATGTACCTAGTGATAGTGACTTAGATAGCAGTCAAGAAACACCTGTCAAGTTTGTGCCGAAACCTGTGAGAAACAGAAAGCCAGTTGAAAAATTTGGTTTTTCAAGCATGCACACTAGTGAAGAAATGTTAGATGATGCCAATGACCTGACACTGGAGGATGCACTGAAAGGTCCTGAAAGGAATAATTGGCTTGACGCTATCAGTGAGGAAATACAAAGTTTCAATGATAACGATGCATGGGAGCTTGTAGATGCCCCAGTAAATAGAAATATAGTGAAGTGCAAG